TCTTCTTCCTCGTCTTCTCGTCACTTCTATCCTCCCCTCTATCTTTCCTTCAATAACTTCTTTTAGAAGGCAGTTTCTGCGTAAAACATGACCAATCCAATTAGCCTTCCGTTTTCTTATTTCGTGTAAGATATTCCTCTGCCCACTGACTCTAATTAACACTTCTTCATTTCTCACATAATCCGTCCAAATGATCTTCTCCATCCTTCTCCAACACCACATTTCGAAACTTTCCAGATGTTTCTGATCTACTGCCCTAAGTGTCCATGTTTCAGCCCCATACAGAGCTAAATGTAATTTTGATTTTTAAAATAAAGGTAATGTTATCCCTGTAAGAGGCCGTGGAGGTCCATAGGGTTGTGAGAGGTTGAGGCTCCCACATTTTCTAGATAATTGGTTCATAGATGGTGGTAAGGTTGTCAGTCATACGCGCCGGCCGCCCTTTACCACCTAGGAAGATTCCTGGTACTCATTTCTCTTAGAAGCTGAGTTGACCCCAGGGCTATAGTGCGGCTGGAAGGATTAGGTAAATATAAAAAAGGATCCCCCTAGTTGGGAATTGAACCCGCGACCTTTCAGCTTGTAGTATAGTACCTCAACCAACTACTCTACCGCTTGCCCCGAAACTTTGATTTTATATCTTTTAATTTAATTTGTTGCCGTTCAATATTATTTTTACGTCAAGTTTTAAATATTTTAAATATCAAAGTGTATTATTTGGATAGTATAACAATTTAGACACAACATGAATTCATACTGAATAAACGACGCAACTCAGAAACTGACACCAAATATTCATGCACTCCTGAGGATGACCCAGACAAGGGTAGAAACATGTAGCGAAGTTATCAACAGTAAGATAAAACACATGTTGATATGTTAGTGTCTATCTTGTTTATTGTTTATTTTCAAATCATATTCATTCAGTTTCCGGAGGGACTTACGAATTACTTTTGTGTTGAAATGGATTTGGAAGAAATCGGTCGCATCCTAATCTATGTATTATCTCGGCAGTTTCATGGAGGGACTGAGGAAAACCACGGAGGTTCTCAATCATGAAGGCCTGCGTCACGGCCGAAATTCGAACCGAGAACCTCCCGAATAGAAGCCTAGAGCGTTAGTGCTAAACAAACCTGTCCACTGACGCCGTGTATTCTGAAAGATCATTACCGTGATTTCGGAGGGATATACTGGTTTCATCTTCAGGTTAAAATAATATCCCGAACGTGAAGATAAAGTGGTTCTCATAAATGGAAGGAGGCTTCGGTTCGAGGCTGTAGGCGGGCCCAATAGGAAACAGTCACACTAAGAAGCGAAAAAAAGTGCCGTAGGGAGATGTGGGGGCGGGATTGTGGGAGGAGGGAATTAAGTTAACTAAGACAGGAGATAAGAAACAGAACTTGATAATAATAAAATAAATTCATACGATGAATTGAATTACACCGAAATAAAACGAAAATAAAAGGGGCAGATGTTCAAGGGAATAAAGAAAAACCGCATAGGACGAAGGGAACGATAAAGCGAAATAAAATTAGAACAAAGCAAAATGGTTGCCTCCATGGTGTCCTCCAGGGTGCAATATAGCAACACATTGAGTATAGATACCTAAACACTCGTTTAAAACAAATATAAATAAAAAAATGGAAAGATACTATTTTTCCCAGATGAGAGACTGCCTCCTCTGATGACGCATGCGCAATTTGCAGCCAACCGGTGACCAGCCTGTAGAGAATTAGTCTGACTCAATCATGGGAAAACCACAGGCCGCTTCACGGTGGAGCAGACAGTTCGAGGCGAGGACCGCAGTCAGGCCGTAACTGCGCGTAGAGAAACATACCGCCTGTGGGCTATCCTACCCGCCACTCCGTCTGACACGCGCCAAGTTCAGCATCCCGCGGATACAGTGCTCGAGCCTTCCGAGGATCCACAGTGGTGCAAGTGGACGCGAAACATTTACGTCACAGTTTCCCAACAAGTGATCTGAACATTATTCCATTACATAAGCATGACACCGGTAAAGAAAACGTTAAAAAGACCAGACATTAGTAAGAAATAGAATAAAATATAACGAAATAAATTATTGAAGGTTGTGTACAAATGTGTGTGTATACCATTGACGCCTTTCATTGACTACAAATGGTGAGTTGCAGAAAAGGAAAATAAAAAAATAGTCCTAGTTAAGAAAACAAGGTCAATGAGAGCACCTGTCCTCTATAGTATCCCATAATTACACGGGCTACTGCAAGACAGCAGAAAGAGCAGAATTCAACATTAACTTCACACAAAGAATCTGCCAGTTTTCTTGATTATAACTCCGAGAATCTATGCCAGCTGCTTCAAATGTCTTCTGCTACAACTCAGCAAGCTTGTGGTGTGTTTCTCAGATGCAGAAAAGTGACCAGTACCTAATTCTGAAAAGTTTTCTTTTTTTTATAAATTACCAAACTCAGAACAAAAAATACAGCAGTACAAAGAAATTCAGTAACTGAATGTAAGTATAGTGTGAATTTATAGTGACTGCAAATTAAGTCTTAATTACTGGTATATTTATGTATTCATCGTGACCTGAAGGTTTAATGAAGTGATTTAAAGAAATTATCACAACCGTTTTCTTCTGAAAGAAAAGCGATGTTCCTAATATGTACTTTAATACATTTAAGAACTCTGAAACGTCTATGAACTAATTATTATAAATTTGGAGGACTAAATATTCAAAATATTTACACAAGAGAGTGCAAAATCAAGCTGAAGATAACTGAATAGCAGATCCATTACAGTGTTCTAAAGAATCATGTTTTGAGCGGCGGAGTTTGTGGACAAATGTAGAACAAACCTCTTCTACACATATGAAAGTTTCTTTTGAAAATACGCAGAAAACAGTTATATTACACTGAGTAATTTGAGTGTCGTTTGTGACTTGAAGTCTGGTGCTTTCCAAATAATTCAAAACTCATCGACGCTTTGAAGGCTTCATGAAATGCTTCGAAGGCGATATCACAAGAACATCAAGAACTTTTTTGTTGTTTCTGAATATCTTAATAGTGGTGCTGTACAAGTATTCTAATTTACGAACAATTTAGACTTTACAGCTGTCACAAAATGAGTCAAGAATCATACCGGAGAAGCACTGGGGATATTCGCCGTTTCTGAGACCCACTAGCGGAGCAGAAGTGATTTGAGTGTCATCAGGTGTCCGCGTGGCTTGGAGCGAAACCCGCCCAATGCATTTGCCGGGCCTCTTGGCGCAGGTGTCAACTGCAACTTGCGCAGAAGAGGACGACGGTTTCTTAAGTTGCAAGAAACGATTTCGGACCATGGCAGAGAGTGTCCCCGACGCTAACAGCGATTCCGGGGGTGGTTGTAGTGGTGGGGGTGGAAACCCCGTAGGGGGTGCTGAAGAACTCTGGTGGACCGAACGCGTCCTCCGGGAAGTCCAAGCAGAACACCCAGGAGAACTTGTCAGAACTGGAAGTCCCTACTTCCTGTGTTCGTCCTTACCAAACCACTGGAGATCCAACAAGACTCTTCCCGTCGCATTCAAAGTGGTGGCTCTGGGGGACGTGCTGGACGGCACCCTGGTCACTGTACGGGCCGGCAACGACGAGAACTACTGCGCCGAGCTTCGCAACTGCACGGCGGTCATGAAGAACCAGGTGGCCAAGTTTAATGACCTCAGGTTCGTCGGTAGAAGTGGCAGAGGTGAGTTCTTGGACAATGGTTATTTTATTTTGAGAATATAAGTTTATCTCTTCGCCTAATATTACTAACCCTTTAAAGCACAGTGGTCACTATATGTACCAAACGCTTTAACATACTAAAACTCTGCATTCTGCCCACACAGTGTATCTGTGTGTTCCATATGGTTCTCACGGTAAACAGCGACTGTTTCCCTAAACAGAATTAACCGGCTGGACTTTGTAGCGAAGACGCAACGCATCTTTGAGAGCCCGGTGTAGAGGCTGGTTAGAATACCTCCACCGTAGCCCTGCGAGTCATAGGAAGCGACGAAAAGGGAACCCAGTATCTGGGGGTATAACCGGGCCACCCTGTTCCTGAGGTATATAAATACGGGGACCTCGCCCTTCAGGTTGGGGGAGTCTCGAGCCTGAGACAGTAAAATATGGTCTCTGACCCGAGAATGACTGTGCTGGCAAGTGCCAACAGCAATTTTATACGAGAGACCCGTCCTCTTACTAGAGAGGGCTCCCCACATCCCCGAACCCGCAACTGACAGTAATACAAATGTGGTCTTGGGCCCCAGATGGGGGCTTGACACCAAGAGAGACTGTCCGGCTGACCGTCGGTCGTAACATAATTTTGACTTCGACTTTTAGTCTTTGAAGGGCTAAATGTAGGAGACCGAAATAGGAGGGATATGCAGTGAGCATGTGGGAGAAAAAATGCACATAAATTTTTTGTCCAAAAATCCGGAGGGAAGAACAACCCAGAGGATCCAGGTGTTGAAAAGAGAAACGTAGATAAATGTGGTGTGAGGGAATGGATTATATCAATGTACGTAGTTAAGGACAGGGTCCAGTGCGTGCTGCTGTGAGCCCAGTAATGCACTGTCGGCTTTCATAAAAGCAATGAATATGCTGATCGAAATCGAAATACGAGTATATCTGATAGTTTGGTTACTTATTTAATAACAAATTCAGGTACAGAGGTCAGGATCGTCCTAAATGGAAAGATCATCATAAAATCATGAGAACGTAAGGATTTCAAGGGAGACATTCAGCTGGAGATGCTGAGAAAATCACAAACCTCATTCTGATTGAGCGATTCGCCTATCTTCTCTGATATAACGCTCTGTAGAACGTTTAAAACAAACAGACGTTTCGGAAGAAAAAGTTGCCTCCATCTTCATTGTCGAAGAATAAGCCAGACAAGAAACCATGTTTGCTACTTGCTTCGTTTTGGTTTCTTGCTTGGTTTATTCTTCGACCTGAAGATGGAGGCGATAAGCTCGTCCGAAATGTCGGTTGGCTTTCAGGGGACTATGCAAAGTTACGTCCCAGCAGTTAGAACTCCTCATACCCACCGCTATGAGAACCCCAGTTCGTTCCTAATGGCAGGTAATCCGGCCAAGATCCTTACAGTTACTTCCAGGATGCAAGTCCGCTACAGTAACCTGCTCAGTGTGGCTTATGGATCACAGGACAGACTTTAACGCCTTTGCTGACATTTACAACAAAAATTAGGCATATTTTTTATAACTTCTTCCCATATTCAATATTTTCTTCTCAGATAATGAGCATACAAAGACGACGTTTCGGAAAATACTCCTGTTTCAACTTACAGGGTAAATAACGGATTTCGCATAAGGCAGACTGAGGGAGTTCGTGATTCAACCGGATCGCCTACTTGTGAGATTATGGGCATAGGCAGACACACTCCATATAATGTTCAGCTCAGAGACACTTTGGTTAGAATCAATACAGTCACTATTTATGTGTGTGATTATAGACGGGGTTTGGATTGGTGAATGGATTTATTGACCACTTATACACCCCACTCGGAACTACATGTTAAGTACAGCGTTATCGCTAATTGCCACACCTTAAGTCTTCTCCGGCCTGCAGTGTCTTCACTAGCTGTTGCTTAGTAAAAATGTAAAGGTAAAGTTGCCCCTGTGTTTAGCTAATTAAGCACTACGCCATGAAGATGTATGGGGGAGTGGCTGTATAGATCCACGTTTTCTTGACCTCGGCACTAGTTGGAGGTGAGTGGTAAGCTTCACGCCGCGGCCGCTTTACTCCCTGGGAAAGGGCCCCAGAACCCATAGGATATGAGGCTGGGTAGGCCCCAGAGTCGGTCTGGACAACGTGGATAAGAGAAAATTCTTGACCCTACCGGGACTCGAATTCCGACTCTTCAGTCGTCCAGCCCGTAGCCAGTCGCTATACCGACTAAGCTATCCCAACGAATCCTAACAATGGAGATTCTTCAGCTTCTGTGGCCACGCCTTTGCAGCTGTTTACCACTCGACAGCTGAACTGTCAACTTAATTAGAGCGCCATCTCTTCTCAGCCTCCCTCGCAGAACTCAATTCTCAACTGATTTGGTCGCCCTAGTTGTCTTTCTTATAACCCCTTTGCACGGACCGAGTAGAAAACGCCATTTGCAACAGTAAATCCATTGTTGCGCGTGTACTGTTTAGGTTCCCACGTAAACGCTACTCAGCCAGTCCATTGGGGCGCTGGTTGCTGCCTAGCAACAGCTGTTGGCTACTTTGTTTACCGGTCTTTGCCTAGCAAATGGTCTATAAGCAACAATACATTCACAGATGAACCAGATTCATACATATAAGTTCAAAATAATTGAATTAATAATGGAAATGTACACAACATTAGAAATTTGCACAGGGACATTGTTTGTAGTTACAATTTAATTAAATTTTGTAGTCATCTGGGAATGGAACCGCGTTGAAATAGTTAATGACTACTTGAATGGAAAGGGTTGAACATAGACCTGGTTAGAAAGGATACGAAACATTATGGATGAGTTTCAGAGATGAGTGTGTGTGTACTCATTTTCTATAACGGTTCTGAAAACTTACAGAATAATTTCTGATCTCTTTCAGCAACTTCATCAGTAAACAATAACATCTATATTTAACGTAGTGGCATTGGAGACAGTGATAACCAGGGCCCGGATTTTGATGACCTATAAAATGACCGAAAAAATCCAGAAAAATTACCTAAAATATGACCAAAAATTTAATATGCAGGGCCCGGATTTTGATGACCTGAAAATATTAAAAAATGACCTATAAAATGACCGAAAAAATCCAGAAAAATTACCTAAAGGAGAAAAGATAGAACACTTCGCTTCCATGTTATTCATGTTTCAGAAAACATACGAAGAAAAATTCCCTAAAATGCCCAAAAATGACAAGAAATACCCTTAAAAGTCCAAAAATTTACCAAAAAAATACCCCCAAAATGAAAAAATACCTTAAACCTAAAAATGTCAAAAAATGACAAAAAAAATACCTATAACATTTACATTTCTGTAACCAGCAGCTCATATCCGAGATTTATATATTTAAGAACATCGCATTGGATACACGGGAAAAAAGATGACATGTCATCAAAATCTGGGCCCTGGTAATTACTAATCTGGTTTCTGTCAGTGTTTATTTGCTGCTCTGTTTTGGAATTCTGTGTGGCCGGTTGATTGCCCCTCTTTTCTCAGGGGGGGATGGAATGTTCTGCTAAGTTCGGCGTCTCCTAACAAAATTAAATCAAAATTACTGTACTTCCTTTGGTCGTATTATTACTTCGTAAGAGGTTTACTTTCTTGCGGGGACCTGATTCAATAACAAATCGACAGAAATCAAAAGGTTAATTTCAAGTGAGAAACCTACACGCTGACCCATTTTCAAAAAACGATATTTCCTATTTTGTATAACTCATTAGATAAGTCTCCATTTATTGCTAATACATATCTATTTTAGACAAATGATAACATTACAGATACCAAACTTCATAGCCAGAAATTATCATTTTGGTGTCTCACAAAATATTTATCTTATCGAAAAATTTCTCGAATACAAATCTTTGACCTGAATAATATCTATAATTCTATGAAGAATCGCTTTCGAAAATTTAATGCTTCATTTAAAATATGTGTTAATATATAATTGGTCAGTCCATTCGTCAAAATTTGAATCACTCCGTAACTTGTCTGATCCGTTAGTTGCAAATTTAATCAATATCGGTTGTGTGGTTTCAGAGATGAAATACATGGACGGGCAAATTATATACTTCAACCAAAGAATAAACAAAAATATCACGTCACTGTGCTTAATTTCCATTTGCGTCACTTTTGGCGCAATTCAGACCTTAACAAAAACACATTTCTTAAAATCTGAATATGAACCTCTGCTTGGTGCCTGCTTCATGCTACATTCTTCCTTGGCTTCTTCTTCGACTCCGAAGATGGATGCGATATGTTCTTCTGAAACGTCGATTTACTTCCATCGGACTACACGGCGTTGCATCCCAGAAGAAAAAAACTCTTTTGATAGAAATTCATTCAATAATCCCTTAGATGAAACATTAAGACGAATGGGAACATAAGGCGTCTCCATCATGCACATGCAATATAGCGTAGAAGTCATAGAGCTACCAAACTTTATGAACGAGGCAAGATCTTAATCGCAGCTGACGTCATGCTCACGTGATCGCAGCGCTGTAGAGCCGAAAAATTGTATTGTCACAAGTATTAGTGACTATAGACGGGGTTAGGATTGGATGATTGGATTTACTGGCACTTCGATTACAATTACAGTCAATTATAACAGCTCACAATCAGTGGATGCCTAAGACTGGCTCTATTCCTTACTGGACTACGAGTGTCTTCTCTTCCGCTGTGACTGACTTGGTTCTGGTTTACGGATCGGTCGCTTCTTCAGCTTCCGCTGTCGCTGGTTAGGGCTCCACAGATGAACACTGAACTGTTGGACTGCCTTCTGAATTCACTGACGAATGCCGAATGATGACTCACCTACGAATGAACTCTCGAATCAGAGTCAAAGTCTGAGTTACTTTACGACTGGCGGTTGACCGCAATCAGTTCATCTTGGCGACAAGCCCCTTGAGACCCACAACCAGAATTTGTATTTTCCAACTGAACACTTGTAGTTATAGTCCTTATGTAACGTCCTCTCTGACGAGGGGATGGGTCTGTCGTTC